ATGTAAATGAGTGCCACAACTGAGGGTCAAACCCGGAACCCATGTTTTCAAATGGTGAAGCGTCATCCTTTATGTTATTAGGACCACCTATTGTACTGCTTGCTGATAGCAGGTATTATTATTCAAGTTACTTAATTCTATATTTCCAGCTGGTTGATTATATTGGACTTGGTAACTGTTAGCGTGTCAGCTCCTAGTACGGACGCTTCGACGAAGTTAGGCGATACCTAAGTAATCGAACACCTTCAAACTTGGAGGGCAAATGATTTCGAAAACTTTTTATTATAGCCGTATGTCAGCTTCTCCTTACAGAGATTTCCGATGTAATCGTTTATATCAGGCACTTATCTTGGTATCATGTAATTTATATGAAAAGACAAAATACCTGTGAATTCTGCTGATGAGAGTAAATTGCAAGTTAGCGAAATACCTGATGAGTACTTCCACCAAATGCCTACCAATCTCAGTACACTATTTTGATTGAAGTTATCTGCTCTTAAAAAAAACCCAAATGACAAATTCAGACAAATCTTACGATCTGAATACAAATTACCAGCTCACTGATGGCTACTGGTGGGTTTTTTTTAAGCTGCAGTGGTGACACTCATAAACTGCATTGGTTAGTCAGAGCGCTATATGCCGAATTGACAAAGGTAGAATTCAGAGGTCATTCGATTCCAACCCAAGTGGTTGATTGGTCAATAGACTTGGTATCGTAGCCCGGAGGCCGCATTGCGTACTGTTGAGGAGTCTAAGAACAGGACGAAACGACTGAGAATGATTCCTGGTTTTTAGTGATCCCTCTAACCTGTGTTAGTTGAAAAGTGGATTTTTCATTATACTGATCCGTAGATATTTATGATTTTCTCTCTTTTATTCCCTAGGCTGAGGACGGCTTTTTAAAGAAAAATTGAAAAGATGTTCTATGCGTTACTTAAAAATTTATCAGATTTCATACTGTGTGTAGTAATAATCAACATTCTTCACACAGTCTATTCGCAATAGGTATACCGGTTAAAAACTTTAACTCGCACACACCATGGGTGCAATATTAACGTGACAGTTAACTTCTGAAGAAGACATTAGACTTTTTCAGTTAAGGTACCTTGGTTAATATATATGTATAAAGCTTGGGCACTGTGGTAGTAAGTAATTCCATATTAGTCTTACTTATTAGATATATCACACAGTGAGTGGAACAGTATTATTATATACTGATGACAATGTTTCGAACAAAATTTATTGTGGTTCATAATCATTTCATCAGTTATAATCACACGACTTCGAGATTTGAGTTTTATTGTTTTCTTTGTTCTCTCTCTTCTATTTGCCGTCGTTGGAGTAGAAGAATCTTCTAGATGTCTGGGTGGACAAGTGTTGAATCATTCTTATTACACGTATTCTCTGTCAGTTGATTCGATAAACAAAGCTTCCGTTATCAATCTTTCTCATTCGTCACCCTGTTACATTAGATTTTAAAACTTTCATCTTATCCCATCCATCGTATATTGTATGGTTGTTTGTAACCGCATGTAGTGAGTGCTATCTACGGCTGAACTATTCTCTAGATTTCTTATCTTATTCGGGTCAACAAATCTTGATTTTACTGCTAGGTTTTTATGCTCGGTTAGTCTGACTTACTGACACCGTTCTACTACTTTGACCTGACAATCATTCCAGCAGGGTATTAGGTAAACTAAATTGTTTTGTTTTAAAGGCTCCACAGGACAAGACAACACCAGCAATAAGGAATCTAAATCATCAGTAGTACTTCCATGCAAAGAAGGAGCCTCGGAAACCTTATGCAGAATTCTTAACAAGGCAGGAATAAAAGTGGCTGGCGTTCAAACCACCCACAAACTCAATTATAAACAAGACTTATCAGTTAGAGTATCGTGGGAAACGGCCACAAAAAGATAACAAAATAACCTTCAGCTTCTCCGTTAAAAACAATATGCATAAAAATCGACAAATACCTCTTGAGTTTCTCAATAAACAATCTGTTGTCTGACCTCTGTCTTCTGTCGTTATAAGACTACGGTAAAGTGTACTCAAACAGTAATTTCTATTGATTGTAAACTGGTGAATTAGACTTTGTATGTTTTCAACAACTTTTACTATCTGCCATTTAATTTGACTTATTACCCTTCTTTTGTTTGTTATGCATATAATGCTTGTCCAGTAATCTTCAAGTATAAGATAGGTGTTTCGTAGTAGATAGAATGCATAGCTCTACTGGTTTCAAACTACCGCTCTCGCCATATCTAATCAGTCACCTAAGGCAAAGATGATACCGGATGTATCAACAAACAGATGAAAGATATTCAACAAATTATCTAGCCATAGGAACTACAAGTAAGTACTACCAACAGACAAGGGTGGAAGGAGTTCAAACGTGGCAGTATTGATGAATTACTGTCGAGTAACATTCGGTTGTTTGTACACGACTGCTTGGCCGACTAAGCAAGTATTATCGTACTACGATTCTTATGCTAAAATATATCTCGTATTTTAGACAATCAGTCTGGTGTTCTGATTTGTCTTTGGGATTTACAGCATAGAAACTTGCCTTTATATACAGTGCATCTTGTGTAGGCGCGTCACTATCCTTCACCTCTTAAACTGGTGAGCCTGAATACCACTTGTATCTGCTAAAACACATTCATTTTTATTGACTAATTTTACTGAATCGAATTTACCGAACACCTCAGCCATGAAAGAGATTTAATCAGAACGGAAATCCCTGTAGCATGAAGCTATTCGTGCGCGTTTCAAATGTCCACACAACAGACTGACCGATTCAATTCAACAGAAGACAATGGAATAGGGAATTATGATAAGCCAGTGGAAAACTAATCGCCCAACCGTAAAGCAGATGACACACGGTTTGATCCCCGGCCGACGCACTCCTTTACCTCTCTAAGCCGGTAATAAGACTGGTAAAGAGGGGAAGTTAGGCATGAGGCTAGCAACCCTATTCCGAAAAATAAATACCACTAAAACCTAAACCTGAAAGCTCCAAATTGCAGCCCTATGTTCCACTGGGAACGTAAAGGAATAAAAACACGTGAAAAACAGCCTACAATCTAAAGTGATAGGAACAGCGCTCAGAGAGTATTAGGGAGACTCACATATTAGGATACACACGTATATATATGTCAGGTTTCGTCACGGATTGGCATCAGTTGGAGAACTATTAAAAACCAACAATGGAGTCCTGCACAACAGTTTCTTCCTTCTAGTTTGGGAACTATGATCAATATTCACCCAGCACAAGGGTTAAAACCCAGGACCTTCCTCATACAAGACAAGCGCGTTAACCACAATTCATCCACTGGGACCCCGAGTCAGGGACCGGAATATGAGTTCTAAAATCTACCGACTTATGATTTTAGCGTTGAACCTTCTGTAGCAATTTGGTTGAGTTTAGAGGGCGGAGTTGCGAGCACCACGCCCCTCTTTGTCCGGGCTTGGAACCGGCTAGAAAACTAGCGAGCTAGTAATCTAGGCGGGTACGACAACGGCATATGTCAAGTGATCCACAACGGAAAACTCAGAGAGGCGTTTGGAGTAGACACACGAGTCAGATAAGGGTGCTTATTATCACCCACGATGATATTCCTAATTGTGGTCGACTGGATTATGCGTCAGCAAACGAGAAGACAGGGATATCCTGGACCGACGCAAACAACTAGAAGACCTGGATTTCGCGCGTGGATGATTTATGCTTGATGTCACACACAAAATCGAAGACTTACAAGCGAAAACCGACAAACTGGTCGAAGAAGCAGCCAGGGAAGACAGGACTCCAGGTGATGAACATAGACAAGATGGAGGTTATGAAAATAAAAAACCAACCAACCAACAACATCCAGCCTCGATCACCATCAACGCGAGGGATTTGAAAGAGGTTACTTCATTCACCCGCTTATCCAGGGAGCATTGTCTCAACTACAGCCAGTCGGAACGGACGAGGATGTCAAATCGAGCGAGAATCGAGAAGGTGAGAAACACATCATTCATCAACCTGAAACAACCAATCTGGAAATCTTCGCCACTCAGCCAGCATCAACAATTAAATTCACTCGGGTTTTCAATACAAACGTCAAGTCAGTCAGTTCTTCTATACGAAACGGATAGAAACTTGGCGGGTGGGTCACGAAGAATATTTCCACCAACAACCTGTTGCAGACCAAACCTTTATCAACAACTAACTGTCTTCGCTGACTCTATACTGAAGATGAGATGGGCGGGCCGGGCCGGGCCGGGAAGAATCACCAAAAACAAGAGACTACGGGAACAAACAAAACAAAACAAGATCCAATCGCCAACCGAGAAATATGCAGGAGAAAGTGGAGATGGATGGAGATGGACACTGGCAGAGTAGGCCACCGCTGGATGACATCGCGCGCGAGCGTCAGGCCATTGCTCGAGTGGAACCCGACAGAATGGGAAGCACGCAGCGAGTGGGGCATCAGCTCAAGGGTGACATGGAGGAGATCGTATACGTGAGGAGGAGTTGAACTAACATGGATTCAGGTGAAAGGTACAGCAGAAGGAAGACAGAAGTGGCAAGTGGAGATGTGCAGTTGAAGCCCTATATTCCACCAGGAATCCAAGGGAACAATAATAATACCGATTTTAGCGCGACCACCAGCCAGTATCATCGGCGAGAATTTGTTACTAGTGGTAGAATTTAGAATTCATGATCCAGTCACTGACTCGAGGGAGTGTCAATGGATGAATTGTCGTCAACGTGCTTGGCTTGTAACAGGAAGGTCCTAGGTTCAAACTCCTGTGTTGGGTGAGTACTGCCGATGAATCTCAAACCAGGGGGACGAAGCACTTAACCAGATCTTCCTGTTGGTTTCAATGATTCCTTAACTGAAATCAATCTCTGGTGTAAATATAGATTAAATGTCCTAAAACTGGAATGAAAGCACACCAACACACACACACTTCACCTCTAACCATGACCAAATAATGAATAACAAAGCAGTTGAAATATTTGTTGCCTTTTTTTGTTATTGTCTAGCGCTGATAAAGACTAATTAATCAATATTATATGAATAAACCAATGACGAGTATAGGTGAGTGAATAAAAAGAAGACAAGTGGTTTAAATAAGCAGAGATGAACAATCTTTCTCTGCATGTTGAATAGATGAACATCGGTCAGTGTGTAAATAGCAGATAAATAGGTAAGAATAAAAAAAAAAAATTAAAGAGAAGTAAAACGTTTTTAAAAACAACAATGATAAAAAGACGTCGTACAAGAAAATCACAAAATTCACTGATGGAAGACATCATGGCCGATTAAAACCACTTCACCTTAAAAACAAAAACACGTCGAACTAACAGACTGACAATGGAAGTAATAAATGGCTGACGTGATTTTGAAAAAAAGGGAGTGATTTTCAATGAACGAGACTGCTCCAGATTGAGGCGGTCGCCTTCATAACCCGGTTGATTAAAACAATAACAATGAATCTCCGGTAACGCCAACATAATAACAGTCAAGAAGATGAGTACAATAGTTTTATGCCTACACACACGGACACACAGTGTGTTGTTGCACATAGGACGAGATCTGATAGTTGGCGGAAAAAACGATCTGTGTAGGTGTGTACCAAAATCTGTTATTTCTTTGAAATTGCCGCGTAAAAAAGCTCTTTACCAAGGTAAGCAGTGTCTGTGTGAAAAAGGTGCCCAAACGGGAGAAGTCTTTATTCCTCTAAAGAAAAGAAACGCATTATCTCATATGTGTATATGTATGTGTGTATACTGTTTGCATAAACTTTATTGAACCATCGATAGTTATAATAAAAATATTTGTGATGAATTCATGAACCATGGTCTCTTCTTGTATCATTTGAAGTATCGGTTATAATTCATAAATATAGTGTAAACAAAGAGCCCCTTGAGGCAGCCTTCAAAACGAAATTTATATACCTAGTGACAAGGAGAACAAATTCTGTAAATGTATGTGTATAAATAGAATAGGGCTACAGAGATCGACGATTGCATGCAAACATAAATAATGTGTGTGTGTCTGTGTAACAGCAATAGATAAAAAGCGATTTTTGTTAAAAAGAAAAGACAGCGAACGAATATGTTGTCTATAGAATCTTTGACTGCATGCATTGTATTCTATGCAGGTACTTGTGTGTATTCAGTCAACCAGATGTTTAAGGCACATTTACATTAGTTTGAACACAATGTATACGCATTTGGTGTATGTTTGTATTTTTGAAGTATTTCCATAGACTACTGATAAAATAACTAAGTAGTCTACAAGTGAAGCATAAATTAATTCCTTTAGTTAACTGCTATGATTATGATCAAGATGACAGCGACAATTGCACAAACTGTAGCATGAAGACCGATTATGAAGTATTTGAACATACGACCCTGAAATACAAGAAAAAGGTTGAATAAGTTGCAATCATACATATATGTATATTTCTTACACAGGATTTATAAATACACATGCATCAGAGGATGGATTCTTTAATTCCGCTTGAGAGATTTGACGGAATAATGCAGTCCCTTCCAGAGATGGTAGAGAGAATATCCAAACTAATCAAGATGACTTTACAGTGCAGTTAAGTTTATTCAATCATTCTTTATGACTATTGGTAGATGAGTTTTCCCAACTACTCTATGACTTACGTTTTAGTGTCATTTTTTTTTTAAAAAAAAGAGGTTCTAATTCCAGTAAAAGTACAGTGGAAATACAGAAGGGTGTCAGGCAGAGCTAAAGGAAACCGATCCAAGGCGACATACGGACCAATGACTTAGAAACGATCAGTCACCCTGAAAATGTAGATTTTGGTCGCTAACTCAGTCCTAACCTTAATAATTTTCTTCAGTCTTTTACAACTCCCATTGTGTCTAAATAGTGTTTTCTTTCACAGGTTGGGTTTGCTAGCCACACAGCAAGCCTTTTCTCTCTATCGACTTTACTGTTAGCTTGGCGTGGTTTATCAGTGTGTCGGCCAGGGATCGAACCTCGAACGATACGTTGACAACTGTCTTCAAATGACTTCGAATGCTATTGTATAGAGAACAAAACAGGAAGTTGTTGAATTGCTTAGATATTATTCACTTGGTCATGCTTAGAGAGCGGTTAAGCAGATTTTCATTGATATGGAAGTCTCCTGAAAATGAATGGATTACTAGAAAGTGTATGTGTAATAGTCCGTCCAAAAAGAAGCTAAAATCAAAGTGTGGTGAGAGGTGGCTGTTCGCCAAAAGTGGTAGACAGGAATTTACGTCAATCTTTACGTCCTCAATATTTGTCGTGAGAAAAAATATGAACAAAGACTGATTCAACAACCAACCGCAGTAGACTTTGCGTAGGCGGATACAGTTAGCATGTAGATGATCTGATATTCAAGAAACTCACAAAAAGATGAAAGATTAAATTTCAGTGAGAAACAATCAGGGAGAAGACTGTGTTTTTCTGCTAACAATAATCTATAATAATGTACATGAAAATCTATAATAATGTGTTTATTTCCTTAATAAACGATCTGTTGCTTGGCCCTTGTCTTCTGTTGTTACAATACTATCAAGATTTTAATTCTACTTACAAAAGGAATTAATACTGACAACTGCTCAAAAAGTTAAACAATGTTGTTATGTACACCTTATTTCTTGAAATTTGTTACCAATACAAACATTCTGGATTCTCAGAATATTGAATTCAATGTTTCCATGGTCACGTTAAAAGAATATAAACCAAGCCAAAAGTTAACGCAACATTCAACATTTTTAAAATAAAATAAATATCTTCTACAAAGTGCTTACAGAAGGTTCTGGTTCCGGAGGACGTGGTTGACGTGCATTATTCAAACGTTTAGCAGCTTGATACTGATCAATTTCAACCATATATGTACGACGTTTATCTAAACGAAAAGGATATAAAATGAAGCCGTATTTTCATTGTATGTAACCTTAAAAAGTGTCACGTGATTCCAACGGGAAACAGTTATGCACAACCACAAGTAGATAAACAAACAGACACACTTATAATTCAACCACGAATTGACTACTCTACTTTTCATCCTCCATACGAGCTGTTCACAGTTGTGCAGTAGTTGAGCTCGCCTTGTAACCCGCATGATCAGTGATTCGATTCCCAATGGGATCATGGGTGAGTATTCCTGAAGAATCCCAAAGCAGGATGAAACAACCAGATAGCTGTCCAGTACTCCATGCTTTACAATGATTTCCTCGAAGTGTTATCAATCCGTGATCAAACCGGATCAAAATGCAGAGTCTTCTGAACACCTTCTTGATCAGCAATATTAGAATGTCTGGCATAGAATTCTCTTCTCCCTTGAAAATCATCAAACAACGCCTAGGTTAAGGATAGGAAATGGAAATGAAGTGGTAGAGCATGTTGAGGACTTCACTAATTTGAGAAGTTGCATCGGCCCTAACAGACATGATTCCGGACTAAGATCTCAGCACGAATACAAAAAGCTCGTGTGACATTTGTGAACTTACATCATCTCTTTGGTAGGTGTGGTAACCGGCTGGTTGTCGATCAAAGGATGCGTGTACTGCTTAGTAGCAGTTCACTCCCTCCTCCTTTATGGCTGTGAGACATAGTCATTGAAAGTGGAAAACATGAATGTAAAGGCTGGCTGTCTTCAATCACAGGTATTTCCATCCTATCTGACATGTTAGATTGTATAAAAGGGTTAGTAATATTGAGGTTGAGTGCTATATAAGAAGAGAAAATCAATGAGCGATGTTGTGAAAGTGAATCAATTGATATAGTTAGGAGACGTGTTAGGTATGATTAGTAATCGCCTATCTCCACGGGAAATGATAGTTGACATAAGATTACGTTGGAAATGAACTGGTGATGGTCAAACCAAAACATGGCTTCATCAGTCCATGAAAATTTTGACAGTTTGTTTAAACCAGCCATGCAGGGGAGGGGGTGACTGCTTAGGTTCCTCTGGTTGGTAAAACCCAATGACGGCTGGAGGCAATTGGTGATATGACTAGGAATCGTTTTCAGTAGTGCGGATGCGTTCACTCTCTTTGATCTAAAATATCCACACACAAAAAACTAACCTTTCTTCCTGACATTTCTGTTTAATATCGTTCTTCAGCACCTTCATTTACCTCTCTTGTCTTTCTTTGTGTGTATATGTGGTGACCTAAACTGTTGTACTTCTATGCAGAGCCGTATGCAGAAACCAGTCAGTCAGTCAGTCAGTTAGATCGGATTATTTAACTGAATTTTAGATTTTCCCGTCGATTGATTGGACTGAAGTGCTCGGTCTCAGGTTGACATGTCGGCTTCTTGTCCAGATGCTTCGACGATGTCTGGACTTGTTTATTAGAATTTAACTGGTTGATGGTTACTAGCAGTGGAATCCAGGATGCGCACCTCATCTTACTTTGGACTCGTCAACTGGATGTACCTGCATTCCCTAGTGAGCGATGATGTTCTCACCGAGGCCCGAACCCAGTGTCCATAACTTAAAACACCAAAGCGTTATCCACTAGACCACTTGGGCCACGAAAGCCACCTCTTGTGGAACAGGTCATATTAATTATTTAATTGAACTTTATATTTTCCCTGGATTCCACTGCTAGTCACCACCCACTAATTAACTTCTAATAACAAGCCCAGACATAGTCGAAGCATCTGGACAAGAAGCCGACATGTCAACCTGAGACCGAGCACTTCAGTTCAATCAATAGAGGGGAAAATCTAAGATCCAATTAAATAATTAGTATGAGCCGTTCCACAAGAGGTGGTCAGCTCTCGTGGCCCAAATGGTTTGGAAGATAACGCTTTGGTTTTTGAAACTATGAGTACTAGGTTACAGCCTCGATGGGAACATCATCATCACTCACGGGGCAGTGCAGGCATATCCAGTTGACGAGTCCCAAATAGGACGAAATGCGCGTTAACTTTTAATTTTGATTTTTGATTACAGCTTGATGCCACACCGTATTTTCGGTAAAGGTATGAAATTTTCAGCATGTGATATCGGTAGGCCAAATTTTGCATGCCGACCATAGATATCGGGTGTGCGTCGGTAGGGGATCGAACCCCGCACCATGTGCATGGTGCTGGTGATAGTCTCAACCATTCTGCCACCGACGCACACTGGATTCCACTGCTAGTCACCATCCCCAATTAAATTCTAGTTAGATCAAACTTCAAATTGCATAAAATACCGATTAATAATCTAGTTGACTTATTCCAGGTGTACGCCTACACAACAGATATATGATTCACAGCCTACAGTGTATACACATACACATACACTCTTCCAGTGTAAGCACTATGAATGAACACATTATGCATTCTTGTCACGCATAAGTACTGCAATAAATCAAATTTTACAAAACTTTTATTAGCATACATCATCTCCTGGAAAGTGGAATGTCAATTAAATGTAAGAAAGAATGTTATAATAATAATAATAAATATTTAATATCATTGAGAGAAAATGACTAAACAGAAAGTAAAACAAGGTAGTAGGCTTTGTTTGTTACAGAATCACAGTGCACGATGAAATGCACAGAGAATAACAACAAGAAGATAGAGAAAAAAAAATCGATAGTGAACTGAACAGAGAGCACAACTCCACTATAGATAAAAATTTATTTTGATAAATCACACACAGTGCTATACAGCAATATAATGACGTTTGATGACGTTTCGAGCACAGACTATTGCTCATAATCATATCAAGTCACTCACTCACTCACTCAGACAACTTTTTTCCTTCATTTATATACATGAGTAAAACTGATGATTAGATCTTGGAATAAAAATCAATTTAGGATAATGTACATTCAGAAATGAAATCTACAACAGTTAGCCTTCCTAAGCCACTTAGGAAGGTGTAGACTTTCTGGTTGGTCTCCTCGGGACGGTAAAAACTAATGTCTGGAGACAACTGGATGATATGGGTAAAAATGATCGTTCTCAACAGCTGGTGTAGATGCATCCACTCCTAGTGACTTATAATTTCCAATGAAACCATATCTTGCTTTGTGTTCTGAGTGAAGTATGGCGACTTGAACTGCCGCACATATGTGCAAAGTTCTATGTCGAAAACAGACAAACAGATATTCGGAAATGATAATATGAGTGTTGCTGATCAATTACAATTAGATGGGAAATAAGACGAGTGTTATGTTTATGGTTATAATAAACAACTTGTTAGAATGTTATGATGTACGTGAATTGAAATAGAATACAATTTAAGATTATCTTAAAATCCTATTTCAGTTCACAAACATGATATATATATATATATATATATATATATATATATATATATATAATATTGGTGCAGTAAAACAACCGACATGACCTTATCTAATTTTCGCCTCCACGATCAAATTTCTTTCCTGTTATGAAACTACGATAAGACTGCTGAAAAATGGAATAAATATATCACTGATCTCAACATAATACATCAATAATCTTTAAGCCAACGGTGCTGTTCACAACAAAGTTATATAAGAGAATTGACTTCAAGCTTTATTTTTCCCATATATCTGTATTACATTCATCTGATGTCTGGGTTTTTTGTTAATGCGAAGACAATATTTCTATATCTCTTTATGTGCTACACAAACAGACTTTATAGCAGACTGTTCTAACTGACTCTAATGTCAGAAAGAACAACCAAACTGTAAGTCCATTATACATCAAATTATGTGTAATTTATATAATAACTTATCCATGCCTGTACAATAGGTATGTTCCTGCATAAACAGGAAGGAATATATTATTATTATTAAAACAATATTTATGCATGCCTATACAATTGGTGTACCCTACATAGCTAGGGAAAAAAATGTACTTTATTATATTATCTTTACTAAATATGCTTATTAATATTATGTGTAAATTATCGAATTGATGATGCCTGTAAACTGGCGTCCCTCATGTAAAAAATGAGAATATATTATTATTATTATTATATATATATTCAGTGTGCGTCGATGGAACAGCCGTTAAGATGTCACCGACCATGCACATGGTCCGGAATTCGATCCCCTCCCGACGCGCACCTGATATCAATAGTCGGCCTACAAAATTTGAGCTACCGCTATCATGTGCTGAGAATTCCATACTTGTACTAAAAATACGGTGTGGAATCAAGCTGTAAATCAAAAAATACAAAATATTTCTTAATCTAATATAAATATAAAACTTGGGCACTGTGGTAGAGTATAACTCCATTATGGATAAGATTTTATTTTGATCAATCACACAGTGTGTTATACATTAATATTAACAATAATGTAAAACACTGTGTGATTTATCAAAATAAAATCTTATCCATAATGGAGTTATTTCTTAATCTCCACTTACTCTTTACTTTCAAGACCATCTTTAAATTAAATGAAGTATACAGGTATAGAAGCGTTTTCGTGTGTTATTAGTACAACCCAACCTGATACAAATCCATATACTTAATGGCAAAGCCTATCCTGTTGTGTGAAACATGGAAATGGTACAGGACAGAAACAAACTTTGGTATATGAATTGCGTTCGAAACTTTGAGGTCATGTTTTAGATGCCATCTAGCCTACAGTCGGTACGAAACAATAGAAGTCAGACTGCAGTTAGCCCTACTGTGCATTATTATTATTATTATTATTATTATTATTATTATTAGCGTTACTATCATCATTGCATTAAATAACATAGTCGCTGAATATCTTGATTAGTAGGTTCCACTCAACACCGCATACTACAATATGACCAGTTCACTAGCAGTATGCGATACGCTTTCCCTTTAAGGTTACCTAATCAACCGTGTCTGTGAGTAGGGTATGTGCCTTATGCCGTCTAAGTGCAAAGTAGTTACAAGATTGGTAGGAGCCTGTACCTGCACTCACGCTTGCAGGTGAACCACTTGAAGTTGTTGATGAGTTTGTGTATCTGGGTAGTTGTGTGAGTGCTGGCGGAGGCGTGACAGATGAGATTTCCAACCATATCATGAAAGCTAGGATGCCATAAGTCGACTTCAGCCACCTCTGGCGCTGTCGCAATGTTAGTCTGGCTGTCAAAGGCCTGATCCACAATGTTTCGGTATGTGCTGTCTTTCTGTACACCTGTGAAACTTGGCCTCTCCACGCTGAGGATGTGCGGCGACTCTGCGTATTCGATTATCGCTGTCTCTACAGGATTGCTTGCATTCGACGGCCTCATAGTGTGAGTAATTCTGAAGTCCGATGCCGTGAGTTTTGACACAGTGGAGATAACCATTCGTTGAGTGTTGTCATCTAGAAACATGTGCTACGAATATCACCCTAGAGGCATTCGTACAGGTCTCTGTTCACTAACCAGTCCTGGGACGAGATGGAAAAAGCGGAGAGGTGGTCAGCCCATGACATGGCGTTGTGGGATGAAGGATATTTGTGTTAGCTTAGCATCGGTTGCTGCGCCATGAATCCAACAGATAGCTCGAAACGTTCTCGGATACGGCCAAGAGTCACAATCAGTGGCGCGCGTCGTGCTGCAATTTCCTTCTTTTTTTCCCTTTCCGGCGATAATTGACGACTGTTATTTGAACTTATTAAACATAACTGCTTTCCTCCCAGATTAAGTACTCTATACACTCTCCACCTATATCTCCTCCTTACAAGAAAACCAGATGGTAGCATAAAGAGAAATTTGCATAAGAAAAGTACATGGACAGGACAATATACACATTTTCATAGGTTCGTTCCTCTCAAGTACAAAAGAAATTTAGTGAAGACCCTCAGCCACAGAGTTAGAGTTATATACTCAGAAGAGGTAACTGAAGATGAACTAAGCATTGTACATGATATGATACCTTGATTGCAAATAGCTATCTCAACAAATTTATCAAAAAAGCACATGACAAAGAAAGCGGCGTAAAAGGACTATTCACTGTTCGTAAACAAAAAGCCTATTTATATACGACTGCAATTCAAGGGGGATATACCAAGTGAGATGATTGCGAGGAAATTAAGAAAATCAGTTCAGAGAACTTTTAATGCTGGCGAATTACACGTGTTATTCTCTATACAATCAATGATGCTACCTCGACTGAAAGATAAAGTACCTAGACTAGCTAGGCACTTCAAATTGTATCCACCATCCCAACTGCTCTCCTGTGGTGGAGCGAGTTATATCGGCCGTTGCTTTAGGAACCTGAATTTTCGTGCTCGCTCGAGAACATCTCCCACAATGGCTAAGTAAAGATGTGGTGAAAACCATTAAAAGTTCGATATTGGACCATCTGATGCAAACCGGCCGGTCACAAAGTTAGCCAGCGTTGAAGAATCCATCTCTATCATCATCTACCGGGTGCCTAATAAAATCGCCAAAATCATCCCCGAAGCACCGCATGCTGGAAACAGTAGAGGCTATCGCGATTCGCCTCAAACAACCAGTGCTCTATGTTCAAAGGAAGTAAGTTCAGTCATCCACCACTACTGCCCTGGTTGGCCTTCAGTAAACACTATAAATTCATGAATTTGTTTAGTTGTCTTTCCCAATTTTTCTGACATTCAGTGTGTATTGTTATGTTGGTGCTATTGAACTGTAATCTATTGATATTATTTATCCGATGTTATTTAAACAACAACATTAATGTTGTTGTTCATAACACTAATTCATTCATTCACCATAATATATATGTCTGTCTGTCTGTTTTCGACATAGAACTTTACACAAATGTGCGGAAGTTCAAGTCGCCACATTCCGTGTAGCACGCGAAGCAAGAGAAGAAAGTACAAGAAAAGCATAATAGAAACAGTGAGCAGAGGTGTGAGACAAAGGAGTAATAAAGAAATACAAAACAGTTTCATTGAAGATCATAAGTCACAGGGAGTGGATGCATCTGCGCCACTGAGAACGGTTTTGAGCCATGTCACCAATTGTTTCCAACCATAGATTTTTACCGTCCCGAGGACCCCAGCCTGGAAGTCTACACCTTTCTACGTGGCTTAGACCAACTGTTGTGGATTTCATTGACTGATGCCAAGTTTTTGTTTGACCGCCGCTAGCTTTTTTCCAGCCTGACCCTATATCCGCTAACATTGCTCGTCGAGGGAGGCGATGACTTGGCATACGTAACACATGTCCTAACCATCTCAGTCTTTGTAGCTTCACGACTTCGTCGATTGATTTCCCCTGTTTACCTAGAACTCTACGCCTAACCTCCATGTTGCTCACCTTATTATGCCACTTTACACGGGAAATAGAACGCAGGCACCTATGATCAAAGACAGCTAGTCTTTTCATGTCTTCCACTCTCAGTGGCCAGGTCTCACAACCATAAAGGAGGACGGAGCGGACTGATGAGCAGTACACCCGCCCTTTGGTCGATAGTCGAACATCTCGTCTACGCCAGAGTCGGCGTAAACTGGCAAATGCGAAACGAGCCCCTTGTATTCGTGCTGAGATTTCGTCAGAGATCAGCCCGTTGGTGGCTGATGGTACTTCCCAAATAAGTGAAGCGGTCAACGTGCTCTACCACTTCACTTCCTATTTTTAAACTAGGCGTCGATGTAGTCCAGTCCTGTAACATCATCTTGCATTTGGCGGGAGCGAATCGCATGCCAAACATTCGTAGATTGCGGCTCAAGGTGTTTAGAAGACTCTGCATTTCGTCAGCGTCTTCGCCTAGAAGGACTATATCGTCTGCATATTCCAAGTCAACGAGATTATTCCCCGGTAGCAAGTCAATCCCTGAGTCGCTGAAGTCACCTAGGGTTAAGTCCATTAACACATCTATGATGAAGTTGAATAGAAAAGGAGATAATGGGCATCCTTGACGGACACCACTGGTCGTCATCAGTTCAGATGACAGCTCGCCGTAAGCCCTCACCTGGCTGTATGAGTACGAGTAGAGTGCCTTAATCAGTGCAATATATTTTCTCGGAATTCCCTTTACAGCCAAGCATCTCCAGAGAACTTCCCGATCGACAGAGTCGAATGCTGCCTTTAGGTCAAGAAATATAATGACTGTTGGACGCCGGTAGGAATGCCTATGTTCTAGAATCTGTCGGAGGGTGAAGATATGATCAATACACCCTCTTCCTGGTCTAAAGCCTGCCTGGCTCTCTCGTGTTTGTGCTTCCCGAGCACCACTGTAGAGCCTGATGAAGAGCAGATTATCGAAAAGAGTATTCTTTGTTCAGTATCCATTCTTTTGAATGAAAACTTTAGTAGAAATTTTTAATCAATTTCTGCTAAATAAGTTGTTCAGCTCAAAACATCCACAGACACACACACACACGCATAGACAGGTAAAACACAGAAGATAAACAAAAACTCAAAGAATGAAACTTACTCTTATTTCGACGATAATAGAAACATCCGTGTATCTCCAGAACAATTTCAATAATAAATTGAAATATAACAAAGAATATTAAAATCCACAAGGGATAATTAATAAATTGTAGTTGAAGGCCAGCAGCAGGCATACGTAAGCCTAACATCATTGTTGGTACAGACAAAACATAGGCAAAAGTGCCGATGAAAAAGTGTATCCAATTGAACCATGGTCTGTATTCATGAGCTGGATTGCATCGGCATAAAGCGATAAATGGCTAGAAAGTGAATACGTGTAACCGACGATAAATAGACTGAGATAAGAGCGAAAGAAATTCAGAGACACTTTATTGATGAATGGGTACTACAGTCAAACTGGATTTCAAAATAACTGACCGACGGACAACCCCTCACATATTTCATCATATGGAGATATAGCGTTATATTAACCAAACGATCTTACCTTAAATCCTTACCTTAAATGTCAAACAGTCAATTTCACCTTTAGGCATAAATCTGACCTAAACAAACTGGTGGTTAGCACTCACAAGGTGTGCAACATACATGGCACTGAAATAGAAACCAAGTCGGAAATTATATATCTTGGCGTCATTCTATCTCTGCTGATCTCTCCTGGTCGTCTCATATCTTGATGATTTCTAAGAAAATATTCCGTCTCACCTTCTACATCAAGAAGTTAAGAGGTTCTGGAACAACCTAACCCTTACTCCTGCGTTTCGTTAACTCTTCCATCCTGCCTATTATTCTCTATCGTTCCCCCTTAGTTTTTCCAGGGGTGGCTACTGAAGAAAGACTATACTTTATTATGCAGGATATTAAAGGTTGTCAGCAGGGTGAGCTACGTACCACATAACCAGCTTGTTAATATCCTGGTTGACAGGCACTTGGATTCATGTGAAAAATGGGCTAAATCTATTTTATCTAACTCACATCACCCTCTTCATTCACAACTCTCCCATTGTATCTCATCAGGGAAAGCCAGAAGCCTATATAGGAAACTATCTGCCCGCACTAGTAAGTACAAAAACTCAACCATACCCTACTTAACTCATGTTCGGTGTGATAACAAAAGCATTAGGCGTGAAACTTATAACTTATTAAATAGTCAGTAGAACAACTGGATCTCGTCTTTCCAATTCATTTCATTTATAGGTACAACGTTTTCTTTCTTTCTTTTCCTTTTCTCTTTTTTGTTGTTATGTGCTGCTTTGTTTCTCTCTTCCTTACAAACTCTACTTAGTCTATGTAGAATTTTATTTATTGTTGGTGTACTAACTGGATGCAATACTGTAGTGAAATGCTGAGAATTCCATTCTGTATCACAAGTACTGTTTTGGAATAAAGCAAATTATTATTATTAATAAACAAACACTGAATTTACTATGGAACATAAAAGTGATGGAAAGTTTCACTTCCTCGACATTTCCATGCAACGCCTAGAAGATGGCAGTCTTAAGAAGTCAATTTACCGAAAGCCTACTTAGAAAGGACAATACCACTTACATTTTAATAGTTTTTGTCCAAATAGCTCTCAAATGTGAACTAGTCAAGACTCTATACTATACAGCTAGGACATTATGCTCTACAGAGTAATTAGAGGAAGAATTTATATTTCTCTAAAAGATATTGAAAAGCGACGGTTAACCTGAAAGGTTCATTAATAAGTATGGAAGATCGGAAGTCTCAAATGTCAAACAAACCACAGTGGAGAAAAAGCCAGTCTACATTCGACTTGATTATAAAGGTGAAAACATTCCAGCGATGATCAACAGAAGGCTGAGTACATCATTAGCCATAGCGCATCCTGCAGCTAAGCTTGTCCGAACGACTTGCTCTTTTGTGAAATCAAAAATCGAGAAATATCCTTCTCATGTCAACTTCAACTGTATATATACGAATTTACATATATCTGCGGGAGCAGTTACATTGGAAGAACAGAAAGAAGGGTATATCTACGATTTTCTGAACATGTACCGACAAGATTATGTCTAAAGGGAACATATGCTTCAAATAGTGAGATTGCCAGCCATCTCCTTGACACGGGTCATGAGGTGGACCTCGCGAGATCTCTCAAAATTATCAACAGGCAAAAGAGTTCAATTCTCTTCAAGTTTGCCGAAATGATCTCCATCAAGTGCCTAAAACTCGATTTATGTGTTCAGATAAAAGCAGGTATCAGTCTTTCTTTGGCAACCCTGGTAACTGGATATTTTCACCTCACTTTCATCTGATTACGTGATGTCGAAAGTTTCCATTGTGTGTGATCCCTACTGTTCCGAATAGTGTTTAATATTATATATATATAATTGCGTCGGTGTTATAGCGGCTAGCACGCTCGCCGACTATGCATATGGTCTGGGGTTCGATCCCCGGCCGGCGCACTCCTTTACCTCACTGAACCAGAAATAATGCTGGTAAAGAGGAAAGGTTGGGCATGAGGCTAGCAACCCCATCCTGTAAAAATAAACACCACTGCTACAGAAACCTCAAGCCACTAGCTTGGAGCCCTATGTTCCACTGGGAACGTGAAGGAAAAATTATTTATTATTATTATATATATAATTACTCTATGCATACATTGATTGATTTTTGTTTAAAAATGAACTCTGTGCAAGTACGTTAAAATTGTTTCTGTAGATATGCTTCATAATGACTTAAGCCTGTAAGCAGATGAACTGATGAAAAGCCAATGAAATCAGCAATGATGGTACCATATTATTCTGCACAAGCTGCCACTGTTGTTCTTACTTTATTCAAATAACCGTTTTACGTCAAATGAAACATTGTCCATCCACCTTGTGTCAACGATTTATCATACGAGAAACAGTGTAGTGTATCTCGTTAGTGTTGCCCCATTAAACGAAATTCGCATACCGGTCAGTATTCATCCTTTGATATCCGACTATATGAAAATTTAATTTTAACTGAATATCAGCACATTATACAATTTTTTTTTAAAAACTGAAAATGTTCACAAATCGATGAGAGAGAGAGAGAGACTTACATTGATCAACGCCAAGGAGAAAACAATCAAACCAAGAATTGGATGTATGTAGTAGGGATAGGCAGTTGCTTGGGAATAACCTTCGCAATAAATAAAAATCAATATTATACTGATACACGTCAAGCCAACACATATGCCTTGTAATATGCGATGCGATTGAAACCAGACACGTTCACCTAATAGGCCAGAATTAGGCCAAACATCTTTATAATAACGTGCTAGTATAATACCAATACTGGCACACAGTACCCAGGCTAATACCATAAGACAGCCATGAGTTTTAGCTATTGACGATCCGCGACCAGCTACACCAGTCATGCTTCCGTAAATAGGTCTGTGGGAAAAAAAGGCAAAAGCAAACGTGAAAAAGGATTATTACGAACCTGATACTGGAATAGGTTGTCAGTGGTTACAGTGTTTTGATAACTGGGGCAGTTTATACAATTATCAACCTGACATGATATTATATCCTTCATATTATAAAATATATAATTCCATCATTCCTTTTCTTTTGATTTTATCGGTATGTGTGTTTGTGCGTCGGCGGCACAGTGATTAGGACTCTGGCCGACCATGCAAATGGTCCAAGGTTCAATCCCCTACCAACGCACACCTGATATCTATGGTCGACCTGAAAAATTTGGGCTACCGATATCACATGCTGAAAATTTCATACTTGTACCAAAAATACAGTGTAGCATCAAGCTGTAATCAACAGAAAAATTCCAAGAAACAAAGATTAATTGATCAATCTCTCCCACCCCCTACCACCTGACTCTTTAGAAGTGTAGATATGTCCCCCACCCCATTGTATGATTATGTGTTAATGCACTGATTGAGATTGACGACTTTTTCTGTAAGGTGTTCATTTCTCTGCGATCAAATGATTCTACACTTAACTAAGTTCCTATGTTCCGATCACCTACCTAACTGATCACGATCAACTGGTCTCAACTGAGTGCCGTCGGTCTCACAGTGATTCCAAGATATTTCGTAGAATAAATTCTGTGTCAATTGGTCATTAGGTGGGTTCTCCTGTCAACTGACATCAGTTTGCAAGTAAGTTAAAACGGTTCTATACATATTACAAGAAAAGACCTAAATGATGATATGAAACAGATTAGTAAAGGTCAAAAGCAGAATAACAATAATTGTGAAACTAGTAATGATGACATAAATAAGAGAGAATACAAGTCATCCACTGTTATGCCATATAATGAGGGGACATCTGAGACCATACGTAGGATTGTCAATAAAGCAGGAATTAGGGTGGCATTCAAACCTACAAACTCACTCAGAGATGAGCTCTGTAGGCTAAGAGACGCGATGGACCCAATGAGACAAAATAGTATTATTTACAAAATACCCTGCAATGACTGTGAGTTAGGTCAACTACATAGGTTAGTCAGACTGGTAGATCGGGGTAATCAAATTGTCAAAACATGAGAATTTAGCTAAAGAAGTAAGAACGGTTGACACCAAGAAAATAAGTAATTTAGAAAAAAGCTCAGCAATCGCACTGCATGCATTAACATACAACCACACAATAGAGTGTGGGAGAGGGTTAAGATTCTAAGAAGTAATCTAGGTAGGCGGTCACATCAGTTAATATTACTGTATAACACTGTGTGATTTATCAAAATAAAATCTTATCCATAATGGAGTGTTCTGTGCATAAACTTAATTTAATATTTTCGTTAGGCTGTGCGTAGCTGATGATAAAGCAACGAAATAAATGATGGCACCATCTTATTCTGCCAAACTGCTGTTCTTACTTCAAATTCATAAACGGGAATAAATGTATATTAGATTGTGTATTATTCCCTTGAGTTATGAGTGGAACATAGAGCTTCAGTAACACATCTCCTTTTCATCTGTCTGACCCCACAAGTGACCATAATCTTATCTCCTCCATGTTGCACTCACACGAACGACCCATTCGTCGTTTCACATTGTGATCCCAATCAAATGATGGCCTGCACTGCACGCGATATCATTCGACTGCCTTCTCAATGTGTGCCAGATACATTCATCTCCATTGTCTCCTACATATGCCTTTGTTGAGCGACTGGGTCTTGCCTGTTGGTTGGTTTGTTTTCAGGCCAGTCAGCTGACCATTCGATCTTCAGTATGAAGCCAGCGAAGACAGTTGTTAATAAAGGCTGTTGGAAATCCTCTTCGTGATGCGCCCGCCAAGTTTCTGATAAGAATAGGAAAACTCACTGACTTGACATTTTTGTGTTGGATATCCAAATCCTGTTGTTTCTGCTGAGGTGGAGTACACGAGATTTCCAAACTTGTTTCAGATGGATGAAGGCGTATCCTGCCTCGTTGATTCTAATCTGTCTTGACATCTTTATCCGTTCAACACATCTGTGTTTGAAACCGTGCTTCCTAGCCGAATAAGTGAAGGAAGTGACGCCTGTCGAATTCCTCCCGTTGATAGTGATTGGTACTGGTCACTGTGTGGTGAGAGCAGGCCGTGAGAAAATATGAACAAGGCTGATTCAACAACCAATCACAGCAAAGTTAACGTGGCAAAATATGATTCGCAGATAGAGAACTCTATTTGTCAAGGAATCCCGAAACAACCAATCAGAAGCCTGTGTTTGTCTGCCTAACTTCTGATAAACAACCAATCAGATGACTGCGCTTGTCTATAATAATGTATGTGAAATATGTATAAATATGTGTTGATTTTCATAATAAAACGATCTGTTGCCTGGCCCTTGTCTTCTGTTGTTACAACTGTTGCTTTAGGTTGGTTACCTTCATCAACTCCACCTGCTATATGTTCACCTGGAGTCCTGTCTTTGTTGCCTGTGTTCTTCAGCAAGTTTGAAATATGGTCGATCTTTTCTCAGTTCTACATTTTCAAAATAAATTTTTTAGGCATTATGAAGGTTGAGAAAATGAGTATACTGACGAGTTGATGTAGGTTTGCTATATACACTTCTTCTTATGGTGTCATCCTCTTTTCTGGTCATAAAGACGTTTAGAAATGGAATACTAGAGTCTTTCTCTTTCTTAATAGTAAAATTTATTGCAGGCTCCACTGTCAGGATTGATTCTTTAACCGACAAAGCTTCTTTCTAATTGAAATTGTGGGTGTGAGTGCCAGCCACTTTTATTCCTGCCAGCATTGTTAAGAATTCTGCGTGATGTTTCGGACACCAACAATAAGGAATCTAAATCATCAGTAGTAATTTCATACAAGAAAAGTAACCTCGGAAACCACCTTACGCTGAACTCTTAACAATGCTGACAGGAATAAAAGTGGCTGGAATTCAAACCACCCACAAACTCAATTAGAAACAAGCTTTGTCGGTTAAAGGATCAATCCTGACAGTGGAGCCTTTAAAACAAAACAATCCAGTTTATCTAATACCCTGCCTGTGATGATTGTCAGGTCAAAAACATAGATGGGTGAAAATAGTAGAACAGGGGCAGTCAGACTAGCTGAACATAAAAACGTAGCAAAATCCAGATTAGTTGACCGGAATAAGATCAGAAATCTAGAGAATAGTTCAGCCATGGCATTACGTGCAAATACACACAACCATGCGACAGGATGGATGGGATAAGATGACAGTTTTAAAATTAAATGTAACGGGATGAAGGGAGAGATTGATATCTGGAAAATTCTACTACCCCAACGAAGACAAATAGGAGAAGACAAAGAAAACTATAAAACTCAAGTTTCGATGTTGTGTGATTACAATTGATATGATTATGAACAATAAATTTTGTTCGAAATCTCGTCATTCAGTAGATAACACTGTTTCACTCACTGTGTGATACATCTAGTAAACAAACTAATATGGTCCATTTTCTAGTTTCGCAAGGAAAATGTCGGCTAGAATGGGTCCTAGTGGTGACCCCGTTGCCACACCGTCAGTTTGTCTACGCACTTCCTTATTAAATAAAAAGTGGACGTTCAATTCTCACTTATCCCGATCCATTACACAATGCATAAACAAAAAGCACAATATTTCATGATCCTCTTCTCCAAGAATTTACTAAACAGCAAAAAGTAGGAGGAGACGACATACTACTGATATGAGTAGTTGGATACTTCTTATATCAGGTTAATAGTGCTCACTGGCTAGACTAGACAACCATTCACAATTCGTTTCAGGTCGACCTTGACAGCAGTGTGTATCCAGTTTGACCAACCTATCCATGTTATAACACGGAAGAGTGAAACTTGATTTCCTTCAGTTATCATATTAAAAAAAAAGAAAAGGTGCGAACTGAACTAAACTAAACTTCCAACGTGGATCTTAGCACAAAAATGAGGCAGTTCCAGTTGCCACACTTCATTAAAAGCACACTTAAAGACAAGAAAAAAAATGAAATTCAACGGAACGGAAGTCTGTGGCAGAAGAAATATAATCACATGAACAATAATTAACACTTGAAGAACCTTGAAGACCGCAAAGACTGAATACATCTCAACCGTTGGAAACAACTGTGTACCATGTTGACAACAGTCACTAACCATTGACTGTTAACATCTTGAGCACCTCAGTCAGGAAGGCAATTTAGACTTCGTCCAACCAACAGTCGAAGGTCAAGTGATCCACAACGGGAAACTCAGAGAGGCGTTTGGAGTAAACACAGGAGTCAGACAAGGGTGCTGGCTTATTATCACCAATGATATTCCTAATTGTGGTCGACTGGATTATGCGTCAGACTATGCGGTGGCAAACGAGAAGACAGGGATATCCTGGACCGACATGAAGAACCTAGAAGACCTGGATTTCGCGCGTAGATGATTTATGTTTGATGTCACACACACGAAATCGAAGACTTACAAGCGAAAACCGACAAACTGGTCGAAGAAGCAGCCGGCGAAGACAAAGGTTATGAAAATAACAAACCAACCAACCAACAACAACAACAGCAGAAACATCCAGCGTCATCACTATCACCATCAACGAGAGGGATTTGAAACAGGTTACTTCATTCACTCACTTATCTAGGGAGCATTGTCTCAACTACAGGAGGAACGGACGAGAGTGTCAAATCGCGAATCGGGAAGGCGAGAATTATATTCATCAATCAACCTGAAACCAATCTGGAAATCTTCCTCACTCAGCCAGCACCAACAACAAAATTCACTCGGATCTTCAATACAAACGTCAAGTCAGTCAGTTCTTCTATACGGACTAGAAATTTGGTGGGCGGGTCACGAAGATTTCCAACAGCCTGTTGCAGACCAGACCTTTATCAACAACTAATTGTCTTCGCTGGCTCTATACTGAAGACCAGATGGCCGGGGTGGGCTGGATATAATCACCAACAAGAAACTATGGGAACAAACAAAACAAGAACCAATCGCCAACCAACATATATGCGGGAGAAAGTGGAGATGGATGGAGATGGACACTCGCTGAGGAGGCCACCACTGGGTGACATCGTGCGAATGTCAGGCCATTGCTCGAGTGGAACCAGGCCGAAAGGGAAGCACGCGGCGAGTGGGGCGTCAGTGCAAGGGTGACATGGAGGAGATCGTGTGTGTGAAGAGGAGTTGAAAGAGTATGGATTAACATGGATTCAGGTGAAAGGTACAGCAGAAGAAAGACAGAAGTGGCAAGTGGAGACGTGCAGTTGAAGCCCTATGTTCCACTGGAACCAACAGTGAGAAACTTCAATGATTTGTGACATGTTTTGGTCTGACTACTGCTAAATCTATTTTAACATAATCTTATGTCAGCTAAAATTGCTTGTTGAGGAAAATTTTGACTGGGTAGGCGTAACACATAGATGCAGTTTGAAAACCTTATCAACTGACCTTTCCTACCTAATATTTTACATTTGACTTCATTGCCGCTGATCGTATTATATCACATAGGATGGGAGACAGAACTCAAAATACTTCTTTGTACAGTGAATGAGGGGGAAATTAATGATGAGCACACTGAATTATACTCAATAGGAGTAGTGAAAGAGAGGGAAGATAACTATCAGTCAACAACAGTAGAGAAACTTCAAAATGTGGAGACACTTCGATAGGAAGTACGACGATACTAGTCCTACCAGTATTAAAAATTCCTATAAATGGACTCTCGGTGGGTATTTAATGTGTTCGCCACTCACTTAAACCAACTTGACAACTTTTGAAGACCAACAGAAATGCACAGGTACCTCAAGGCTATTAAAAGATGCTGAGATATGTAAAATGAAATTGTTAATATCATAAATTGAATAAAGAAGGCTGTGATATTGACTCACGATGTGATCACAACTGGACGTTGTGAAATAGATTCTCCACCCGCGAAAGGACGACCGAATCCGTCTTTTTTGCGTTCATCACCACGTGTAACAATTAAATGATAGGCGTTAGGTGATGTTAAATCCATAAGTTGATGAACTGTATCCAACGGTCTTACGCGTCGTCTAAAACGACATTGTAAAGTGCCATCCATAGCGTTGAATACACCGCCTAGATCTTCACCTTCGGTTATCAACAGATCCTATAGTTGAATGAGACAAGGAGAATTAGTTAACCAAACTTAATTCAGAGAAATGAAATAACAAGGGGGGGTGATTCTTTAACAGTTTTTTTCACGCTTTCACTTTTGGCTGACAGAGCTGAGTGATTTTGTTTATTTGTGTGTGTGTGTGTGTGTAACATAAATTCCTAGAGGTTTTGAGACGTTCTTTGTACATGGTAAGACGATTTTCTTTTTGTTTTCATTAGGGACTTTGGGGGAGGGGTTCCCTTAACAATACATAAAGGACGTTTCAACAGCAATACAAGTAGACTAGAGGCTGTAGAAACAGACAAAAGCAGCTAATCACGTTCACGCTCACCAAGAGAAATGATCAATAGACTCATCGCAAGTTTTGTACGGTTTCTCTAGGGATTTGAGAAGTTACACATGAACTGTTGGACAGCGTAATACACAACAAATATATTATGTAACCTGCTTTATTTGAGCATTTCCTAAAATTACATTCTTTATTTTTTTCATTACAGCTTGATTCCACACTGTATTTTTGGTACAAGTATGGAATTTTCAGCATGTGATATCGGTAGCCCAATTTTGTAGGCCGATCATTGATATCAGGTGTGCGTTGGCAGGGGATCGAACCTCGGACAATGTGCATGGTCGACGAGAGTCCCAACCACTGTACCACCGACGTCACAAATAAAAGGACGACCATGAGGCCTCCTCACTAACAAAAACTACACGTCCGAGCGCAACCGATTAGGGTCCGTCGAGAGTTTCAACCCACCGAGGTCAATGGTGAGCCTCCACCCGGAGTCAGAGCACTCTTGGTCACTCTGAACCCGGCGCCAGGTATATATTACTTATCGAAATTGAATAGATACCTATAACAGAGGAGAACCGTCGTAGATTTCGTGTGAAACAACTCGAAGTAATCAACAATGAAAACCAACTACGATAAAAGAAGAGAATTTGAGCCCTGTGGTAGAGTAAAATCCCTATTATTATTATTGTTACCCTTAAGTCATAGAGGAACAAAGGGCTTCAGCCGAACGTCTCCATTCCGTTCGGTTCACTGCCAAAATTTTCACCTGGCTCCACGTCTGCCTACATGCTTCATCTCCCTTCCGCATCACCCCACCAACCTCCATGTCACCCTCGCACTGACGACCAACCAACTCGCCACCTCCTATTCGAGTTCCAGTCGACAGCCTGACAGAGTGCAAACATATAAAACAGTAATTTGATTTTGCAGAAAACACACAGCAATACAGTATTATTTACTAATGATGACGCTTCGAGTACACTTTATTGCTGCTCATAATCATATCAAGGAGATGTAAAATGTCATCAGTAGACAATACTGCATCACGGTGTGTTTTTCGTCAAACTAAATTACTTTGTTATGACGGCCTGCTTTACTAGTTCTCATATGCCCGCTGGAAACTACCAATTAAGCAGGTGAATTTACAGTCTTCAGATTATCCATCTCCCCCCTAATTAAATGACAGCAGTGGTCGCTAAATGAAAAGAAATCATTTATTTTAAAACTTCCAGTTGAAAAGTCACCTTTTTTGTCCTTGTTACATGATGAGTTATGTGTAATTAAACTTTTTGACTGTATATCTCAGCTTCCGGTTTCTTCCTCATCTCTGTAATGATTTATCTCTTCTTCTCAAGACGAACATCATGATTTTCATTGACAGTTTGCTGAAATGACCAGGCTGCCTGAATTTCCATCCAGCATAATGCTTCAAATTTTCTTCAAATCTTATTGTTTTAATCTTTCAGTTATGTTTTTTGGTCATGCACATTCTTATTCCTAAATTCCTTGTAATTTTCAATTGCTGGTATGCAGAGATTTGAGTCTTCATTGGTTTTCATCAAGGGCTGACATCGATCGGTTAGAGGACCATTGGAAAACCATCGGGCAGCACTGGAGAGCTGTTTTCGTTGTCTTACCTCGGAGTGACTTTTCATCAGTACGCACTGACGGCCAGCGTTCGAACACGCGACATTCTGGTTATAAGGCCAACCAGCTCGTGGACCATTAAGCCACATTAAGTCATCCCATGAATTTCAACTTCCGTCAATTCACGATAGAACGGAACCACTAACTGATGTCATCGCCAAGTAGTATTTGGCCACCAAACCCGACCTGTTGTATGCATCTCACCAGTTACGACTTGCCACTAAAACCCCAGGTAACTACCTACCCTTAAGTGTTGGTTTGTAGAGATTTGGTTGATTGGTTACAGGATTTCATCATGAGCTGACATTAGTTAGAGAACCACTGGAAAATCTAGGAGTACTGGACAGCTGTTTCGTCCTGATTTGGGACTCTTTGGCAGTACGCGCCCACTCTACTGGGTTCGAACCCAGGACCTTCCAGTTACAAGGCAAGCTAGCTCGTATAACATTCAGCCGCTGGGACTAGATTCAATGACCAGGCCATGAATTCTAGCTCCCACCAATTCGTGTATGTAATATTCTCATTTCGTACTTTGAATATTTTTGACTTTATATCGTAAATGTGGACAAATTCCTCTGGTTACTTTTGTTTTAATTTTAGTCATATTTTGAGTAAATCAGATACAAGGTGTTGCGACAAATGCTGAGAATTCTATTCTGTATTATAAGTATTATTCGTTTGGTATAAAGTGGATTATTATTATTACCGTTATTATTATTATTATCAAAGAGTGGAGTTTGGACACTTTGTTTGGGAGATAATTAATTCTCTATTCCAATAAACAATAAATATCCCATTCCTACCTACTAAGAAATGACTAGTACAAGCGCCTCCACACACACACACATATTTTTCATATACATCTCTCCCTCTCATTAGTATGCGGCGTAAGACAAAAAACAAAACTCTTTTTGGTCTGGCTAGTGAACAACACACAACACTTTCTGTTCACCTTTCAATCGATAAATTTAAGACAAAAACAAACAATTCAAGGCAGTTGAAAGAAATGCAGGCCATTAAACATTATGTATATATATATGGATAACGTACAGTGAATAGTTGTTAATGTGTAGTGCAATAAATTCTGACCGAAGAAGAAGAAAAGAAAAGCGGAACGCGTGGGTGTATAGAGAAAAACACTTTAGAGTAATGAATGAAGCAGCAAAAGATTTCTGCTACAGTATGGAAAGGGCATAATACAAAAAAATTCAACAGAAAACTATAGATTATTTATTAAATAATGAAGTGGAGTGGACGTGGTTTACATAGGTGTAAAGATAACTTATTTACACTGATCTGCAATGAATAGTGTTCTCTGAGCTGGTTCGGTTAGTTGCGACGGAGCTTTCGTCGTCCCCCTTCCAGACAACATCCCTTTTTCAGAGCGATATTTAGCATAAAGTGAAATGATTCAAATTTCTTCATGAGTGATAGAATTGCGTCTCCCGGTAACCATCTTTACATATGTACTGATCACTTTCTATTGACTCGAATTTTACACTTTCTGGTTACCTGATTTACTTTTTATTAGTTGGCATATTTCGTGTCTATATCAACGTGTTAGTTAGTGTTAGCATATTCGTTTGAGTACCAGGCTTCTAGGAATTCCCTGACTGTACTTTTGGTGTTTCCTCCGTCTACGATTTCGACATTATCCCAATCAAACTGATGTCGATAATTGTCTATGTGCATCGATATGAAAGAATATATACCGTGTCTTTTCAAGGCTGATTTATGTTCCTGGATTCTGATTTGAAGGGGATGCCCACTTTGGCCGACGTAATACCTTTTACAGTTCATACAGTTTATTTTGTTTTGCTTTTTTATTTCCTTCACATTCCCACTGGAACATAGGGCTTCAAGCTGGAGGCTTGAAGTTTCTGTAGCAGTGTTTATTTTTACAGGATGGGGTTGCTAGCCTCATGCCCAACCTTCTCCCTTTACCAGTCTTATTACTGGCTTAGCGAGGTAGAGGAGTTTGTCGGCCGGAGATCGAACCCCGGACCATGTGCATGATCGGCGAGCATGCCAACCGCTAATTTATTTTGTAAATGGTATTAATTTTATCTCCTTTTTCTGTTGTTTCTTTCGGTTTGCACAATATCGAACTAAGTGATTTGACTGGTTTGTGTGCTATATCTATATCAAACGGTTTCTGTATTCTAGCTGTTACTTCAGAGATATTTTTCATGCATGGTAGGATGAACTGCCTTGCGGTTTTTGATGATGGTTCTTTGTTGGTGTTGTGATTCGATTTTAAACACTTTTTGATGAAATTTTTGTGGATAAGCATTCTTTTCGAAGACAGTTTGTAGGTAGTTTTCTTCCATTCTTTTCAACTTTGGAGTGCTACAGTATGTTTGAATTCTTTTAAACAATGTCTGCACACAGTTTCTTTTGTGAGTGAGTGAGTGATTGGATTATTGCTAATATAGCTGAGTGTTATGCTAAATATTGCGCTGAAAGGGTATGTTGTCCTGAAGGGGGACGATAAAAGCTCCGCAACTAAACCAACCAGCTCAGAGAACACTATTAGTTGCAAATCATCCACCTGAGCTACAAATCTTCCCTATTATTACACTGATCTGTTCATAGGTGGTATAACCAATGCCCTGTCTGCTTAAACCTTGGTGTTCGACATAGACTTACTTACAACCTGTGTGTGATTACAACATACCACAGTTGAATAAGATTCTCTAGGGTACCATAAAATTGAGTTAGGTTTGGGTAACCACTAGAAGGAGAATCCCCTATCCTAGTGACTGAAGGCATGTCTTTTTGATGACGCCGTAGACGAGCGTGCAAAGTATGTCAACTTCGATAGTTTATAGTTACTGCTTTGAATAGCCCAACACTAAGTGATGCAGTCTAGTGATTCATATACTGAAATTTGCAGATATTGATGGAATACTCAAATAACTAAAACCTTATGCCTTAATTATATTCCTTTTTAGTGTGTGTTTGAGTTCTCTGAACTGGTTGGTTGAATCGCGAGGTTTTTAATGTCTTCCTAGACATTTCTCAGCACATATATATAATCACTTACATTGAATTATAATTAGACTGAGTTCTACTTTTGTCTATAAACAAACAAGACAGTGTGTAGAAAGACAAATGTAGATAATTAAGCGGATATTGTTATTATTATTCCCTTGGGTTCGGATTGGAACATAGGGCTTCAACAACACATCTCCTCTTTGTCTTATCTTCTGCCATTCTTTTCAGCTTGGACCACGGTTGCCCATAATCTCTTATCTCCTCCATGTTGCCCTAGCACCGATGACCCACTCGTCGCTTCCCATTGGGATTCCCCAGTCGAGTTATAGCTTGTATTGCGCGCGATGTCATTCGATAGTCTCCTCAATATATATTCCCGATCAATCTCAATTTTCTCCTACATATTTGTTGAGCGATCGGTTCTTGATTGCTTTGTTCCCACACTTTCTTGTTACTTATTCTTTCTGGCCATTTTATTTTATTTTATTTATTTTTGATTACAGCTTGATTCCACACCGTATTCTAGGTACAAGTATGGAATTTTCAGCATGTGATATCGGTAGCCCAAATTTCGCAGGCCAACCATAGATATCAGATGTCCGTCGGCGTGGGCTCGAACCCTGGACCATGTGCATGGTCGGCGAGAGTCCTAGCCAATTGTGTCACCGAAGGAAGCAGCTGTTGATGAAAGCCTACAACTTGTTGGAAATTCTTTTCGTGACACGCAGTGCAATTTTTTGACCCGTATAGAACCCCACTGAATCTTTTTCCTTATTTTAAGTGCAGAAGATTTCCAAATTGGTTTCAGGTTGATGAAGACGTGTGCGTATCTTGCCTTTCCAATTATGACTGGCTAGCTTTGACATCTTCGTCCGTTCTATCTGTAGCTGAAACTATGCATCGTCCTAGATAGAGTGAAGGAAGTGTAACCTCTGTGTGTAAATCTCTCCCGTTGATAGTGATTGGTGCTGGTTGTTTTTGTTTTTGCCGCTGTTGGTTACTTATCTTCAATCACCTCCGACTTCTGCCTGTTCATTCTTGATTGAGCAGATATAATGAAGTATAATTAATTTTACTGAAGCAATAAGCAAGGATTCTTTGTTAAGCTTTATGGCGCTTTTATACCAGTAAAGAGTTTTTGAATTTGCCCATCCGATAAAGTGCAGTTGTTCACTAGTTTTTTTTTTCTCCTTCACGTTCCCCAGTGGAACATAGGGCTTCAAGCTAGAGGCTTAAAGTTTCTCTAGTAGTGTTTATTTTTACAGGATTGGGTTGCTAGCCTCACGCTAGTCCTCCAACCTTTACTCTTTAACAGCATTATTTCTGGCTCAGCGAGGTGAGGGAGTTTGTCGGCTGGGGATCGAACCCCGAACCATGTGCATGGTCGGCGAGCGTCCTAACCGCTATACCACCAACGCACTGTTCACTATGAACAGTCCTAATAATTATCGAGGAGAACAACTGTTTAGCACTTCTTTCACTTTTTATGGTGGTTAGAGTCAGAGGAACACAGAGCTATCCGTAAGATACAAAACAATTCATGTTTACTTTATATCGATTTCAGGGAACCAATGATATAAACATTTTGAATAGACTGTCATGCATCAGCGTTGGTGCTGAAGTCCAACACCAGGTCTCATCTGAGAGTAGTGTTCTCCAGTCACCCCCTGGTCGGTAGAAGCTCAAAGGACAAGATCTCGCACCTGACCACTCCTATGTGTATATATATTAGTTCATCTGTTGCTTTGGAGCTTGTTCTGGTCGGAGTTCTGTCTCCAGTGCGTCCTTTAATCTCTCCAGGATGATGCGACTCAGGATTTTACTTGACGTCGACAGGAGCATGATTCCTCGCCAGTTCTTGCAGAGTGGGGACTAAGTCGCCCTTCTTTGGTAGTTTCACGAAGTAACCTTTCCCCCAGTCAGTAGGCACCTTTCCCTCCTTCCTGACCTTTTGTAATAATGGAGTCAGCATGTCTGCTGTAGTCTATACATCCTATGAATTATTCCATATATGGCATAAATTGTTTTACCAGTCGACATTTAACTATGACTATAACCACAAGCATTCTTACTGCAATTCATACTATTATTATTATTTTATGTGTTCACATATTACTTACCTCATCAGGTCCAGTATAGAAATTTGTTGTCTTTCCAGTTATGTCATTGTAACCAGCTCGCATGTTCACAGAGTTTGTTGATGATTGATAATAACACCCAACAACACCATCATCCCCCTGTAGATTGTAAGAGAATGAGGCAATTGCATAAAACATACTATCATGACACAATAAACAGCAGGTTTTTGAGAACAAACATATTTATGGACAGCTGGGAAAATAGTGCTCTCAATACATATGTGGATGACACTTTCACACACAGTGTTAAAAACAGAACATATCTCTCTCTAGCATCTTGATACACATAAACTCACTAGTAGAGGGAATAAAATTCACGTTTGAATCAGAAAATTAACAAGGAGAATTGTAAAATAAAAAGAATAGAAGAAGGTTAACTACACACTAGCGTTTATAAAAAGCCAACGAATTCTGTTAATAGATACTTAGACTTTAATTCATCTCATCCATTCGATGTCTGTAAAGGCAGGCTTAGTTAAGTGTTTCACAAAACCGGGCAGTAGCACTAAGTAGCACAAGAAAAGACCTAAATGATGAACTAAAACAGAGGGGACATCTGAGACTCTACGTAGGATTCTTAATAAAGCAGGAATTAGGGTGGCATTCAAACCTACAAACTCACTCAGAGACGAGCTCTGTAGTCTAAAAGACCCTGTTAGTTGACCCAATTAAACAAAATAATATAATTTACAAAATACTCTTCAATGACTGTGAGTTAGGTCAACTACATAGGTTAGTCAGACTGGTAGATTGGGGGTAATCAGATTGTCAGAACATGAGAATTTAGCTAAAGAAGTAAGAATGGTTGACCCTGAAAAGATAAGTAATTTAAAAAAAGCTCAGCAATCGCACTGCATGCATTAACACACAACCACACAATAGGGTGGGAGAGGGTTAAGATACTAAGAAGTAATCTATGTAGGTGGAGAGAGAGAGATAGGTTGATTACTGAATCCTGACATGGTTAATTGACTCTGCACCCAACACATGCAACAGAAATGACTCAATGCAAATACCAGAAATATGGAAGATATTATTACCACCAGTCAGTCGAAACAGAAGAGGATAATAAATGATCTTAAAATTCTGTTTTAATTGACGTATATTATAACATTCTAACAAGTTACCTATTATGACTATACAAAAAACACTCGCCTCATTTCCCATCTAATTGTAATTGATCAATAACACTCGTATTATTATTTCTAAATGTACATTATCCCAAATTGATTTTTATTGAAATGTCTAATCATCAATTTTACTCATGTATATAAATGAAGGAAAAAGTTGTGTGAGTAACTTGATATGATTATGAGTGGCAACAGTTTGTGCTCGAAACGTGGCCATCATCTAATATTACTGTGTATGACTTATCAAAATAAAATCTTATCCATAATGGAGTTGTACTTTACCACAGTGACCAAGTTTTATACTTATATCAACGGTTTTTTTTCTTTTAAAACTAATGATTACTGTTATAAATAAAAGTATCAAGAAGTGGTTCTGTGTCATGAACTCCCTGAAAGGCGGAAATGAATAAACATCTGTGCAAAACTGCAGAATCATTAAGTGAATCACTGAAGACTGAAACTTACTCTAGCTGCCAATACTTGGTGGAGATAATTGTTTTAGTTTTAGCTTGATTCCCCACCGTATTTTTGGTACAAGTATGGAATTTTCAGCATGTGGCATCAGTAGCCCAATTTCGCAGGCCGACCATTGATATCAGGTGTGCGCCTGCAGGGGATCGAACCCCGGACCATATGCGCGGTCGGCGAGATTCTTAACCGCTGTGAGACCAACGCATTTACTCAATAGAGAAAAAAACTGTACCTAATTAGAACATTAGGTATTTTCAGATTGAACTGATCAATTCTGATTGTCCTGTAGTCATTAATAATTTTTGGGGGAAGCTCCGAGGTTCAGCGAATACAAATCTCCGTTCCACTCTGTTCACTGCAGTCATTTTTTAATCTCCATAAGCTTTCCTTCCCACCTCACACGATCTCCTGGGACCTACGGCCAACTCGTTGTTTCGGTTTCAGGTTCCAGTCGAGGGCCTGGTAAGTGAGTGATGTAACTCAACGATATTCCCAACTGCGTACCATCACCATCATTCCTGGAGAATCTTAGATAACAAATATGACAATGGAAGCTAAAACTTGTTCACCTATAAGTGTTGTGAATACATTTCATGAATATTTCACGCTAACAACATATATTTCCCATCAACTTTACAGCACAATAATAATAATACTAATAATAATAAAGGCTTTATTCAAATATTTTCGACAAAAAGCAGTCCACTGAGTGAATTTCAGTACTAACATTCCTTATATTTATTTCAATTAATCTGAAATTAGTGAATAAATATCGTCTAAATAATAAAATCTGCGTCGGTGGAACGGTGGTAGAATGCTCGCCAGCCAAGCAGGTGGTCCGGGGTTCATTCCCAGGCCACCGACGCGCTCCTTTACCTCGCTAATCCAGTAATAGTGTGGTGAGAGCAGGGTGCCAGCCAAAGTTGGTAGACAGTAATTTACGTCAATGTTTGTTTATGTCCCCAATATTGATCACGAGAAAAATAAGAACAAAGACTTTGCGTAGGCGGACACAGTTAACATATAGATGATCTGACATTCAAGAAACAGCCAGAAAGAGATGCAAGGTTAACTTTCTGTGAGAAACAACCACCAATCAGAAGACTGTGTTTTTCTGCTAACAATAATCTATGAAAATGTACATGAAATATATATATATATATATATATATATATATATATATACGTGTTGATTTCCTTAATAAACGATCTGTTGCCCGGCCCTTGTCTTGTGTTGTTACAATAGAACTGGCAGAGAGAATGAAGGTTGGGCATGAGGCTAGCAACCTCATCTCGTAAAAGTAAACATCACTGCTACAGAAACTTCAAGTCTGTAGCTAGAAGAAGAAGCCCTATGTTCCAGCAATAGAAGACTTTTCTATGCACTTGCACTGAAAAAAGTAACCACCGTTAGTTAGTTTGTTTGTTTGTTGGTTTCGTTGAATAGTCTAACAAATATTATTGTTGTTATTATTACCAATAATTCATGTGCCATTATCACTACTTTCTTGGCCAAACGAAAATGATACGTTTACATGCATCAAGCCTAATCAACTCGTGCATGACTGACTTTATTGAAGGGAAAACCCTGCTATTACTATGGCTACTACCATTGTTGCTACCTACCTACCACCCTAACTACCCACCTACTTACTTAGTTACTTATTTATAAGCAATAACATAACAATTTGGTAGTCCAAAAATTAGATTGGTATATAACCGCGGATCACATGAGATTCTTTCTGATTAAAAGCTTAAATACCCCTAGGTTAAAAACAAAGTCCAAAAAATAGTGCACCTTCATGAAAAAAAAATTCATTTTTTTTAAAAATTTTGTTCGGTTCTCTTTTTAAGATTCGAAAGAAAAAACGAGAAATGTGACTATTTTTAACATTAATAAATAAACAAAAGTGTTAAGGCAATTGGTAAGCAAAAAGATTAATTGAAAACATTTATTTCCCGATACGAATTTAAAACAAGCAATAAAGGTTAATAAAGCAGGATGATTTAATGAATTCATCAAATTTCGGTAGAACTCGTCAGCTGAATACTCTACATACACGGATATATATACTTTTGAAATTACATTGGGAGATATAAGACTGATAAGTGAGTAAATAAACTACATTGAATTAATCATGCAGAGAGACAGGCGCGAATATTTTCCAGGTCTTGTTCAAATAGATAAGGGGAGATGGAGGGAATATGAGAGATCGAAATTAAGATAAATTGCATTACGCTTCAATTACATCACTTAGATAAACAATTAGTCATTAGGGAATATAACGAGAATTGCAAACAGACTAATATCAATAGTAATAGTTATAATAACAGTTTTAATAGTGTTGAAGTGAGTTAAGATAATCTTACTGATAAAGCATAGTTTTAGATGAATCAAGAATAATAATAATGGTAATAATAATAACAATAATAGTAAGAAGAAGAGGTAGAATGATAACAAGTAGAGAATAAAACGTATTAGCATGTTAGATTAAGAGTGACGACCATCTCCTTTTGTATACAGAGAGCTGGTTTATAAATTCGAACTGCAGAAGCCTCTGCAATGGCAAGCATCTTCTTGTTTCTTTGTTTGCTGACAATGGTAAATGACTTGACTGCGTCGATATCATGTCCGTAATCTACAAGATGTTTTGTTATTGAGGATTTTGGCACTTTAAACTCAGCTGTTTTCAACCATTTTGGCAAATGCTCCATCATGCGAGTAGACAATCGCCTTTCCGTACGACCTATGTATTTGCTGCCACAAAGGCGATTGTCTACTCGCATGATGGAGCATTTGCCAAAATGGTTGAAAACAGCTGAGTTTAAAGTGCCAAAATCCTCAATAACAAAACATCTTGTAGATTACGGACATGATATCGACGCAGTCAAGTCATTTACCATTGTCAGCAAACAAAGAAACAAGAAGATGCTTGCCATTGCAGAGGCTTCTGCAGTTCGAATTTATAAACCAGCTCTCTGTATACAAAAGGAGATGGTCGTCACTCTTAATCTAACATGCTAATACGTTTTATTCTCTACTTGTTATCATTCTACCTCTTCTTCTTACTATTATTGTTATTATTATTACCATTATTATTATTCTTGATTCATCTAAAACTATGCTTTATCAGTAAGATTATCTTAACTCACTTCAACACTATTAAAACTGTTATTATAACTATTACTATTGATATTAGTCTGTTTGCAATTCTCGTTATATTCCCTAATGACTAATTGTTTATCTAAGTGATGTAATTGAAGCGTAATGCAATTTATCTTAATTTCGATCTCTCATATTCCCTCCATCTCCCCTTATCTATTTGAACAAGACCTGGAAAATATTCGCGCCTGTCTCTCTGCATGATTAATTCAATGTAGTTTATTTACTCACTTATCAGTCTTATATCTCCCAATGTAATTTCAAAAGTATATATATCCGTGTATGTAGAGTATTCAGCTGACGAGTTCTACCGAAATTTGATGAATTCATTAAATC